GCCTGTTCTACATTCGTGAGTGTGTGTCATTTAAATTATCTTAATTTTCACTGTATTTTGCCAGATAGGATATTAATTTTTGACTTAACGGAAGTTCTTGTGATGTCGACCACGTGAAAAACAAGGATTACTTTGCTGATGTGAAACTTGCATTCTTTGCACTGTCTGCATCGTTTATTATTCCATGTAATTTCGCATTGAAAAAGGCTCCTCAATGGGGGTCGAAATATTTGCCATAATTTAAATAAAAAATACATTTACTCTTGAGACTCTGAAAAGTATACCATTAACCCTATTAGTGGCAGGGGGGGTTGTTTTTATCCACCCCTCAGGTTTTTCGGGAATATCTCCGAAACCGCTGAAGCTACGATGCTGAAATTTTCTGACTTTTCCTAAAACTAAATTGGGCACATTCCCTGAAAATTTCAAGTTCATGACTTTACCAGGGGCGGCTCCAGAGCACTGGGAATTGGGGGGTCCTATTCGTGAAGCGAGTCATTTGGGCGAAGATCACGATGCTGCACCAGTTTTACGAACAGGGAATGAAAGGTATCATGTGATAACATATACAAAGTTATTGTGCATCCTCTTTTGACACGTTTTTGCTATAATAGGCGGATCCAGGCGTCAAAAAAGGGGGGCTATTTTTTACCTCCCAACATAGGTGCCCTGACACCGCCTATGCATGACCAATACAATTTTAGTCGTTCTCTCATAAGAAAATTGTAACATAACAAGACCATTGCCACCCTTTTTAGAAACAGTACCAACAAAAACCTTATTTACTATACTTTTTGTGTACCCCCAATCTCAATTATCTGTATCCGCCTATGATTTTTGAAAATGCATATTTTTAGAATCCATGTGAATTCTGGTTCATTCTCTATCGATCGGCAAAAGTTGCGTTAAGATTGGTTCAGAAACCTGGCCGTGATAAACAGTCTAAAATGTATCTGCAATTTGCTCGTTTTTACCCCCCTCTACCCCCCTATTGACATTTTTCAACTTTATTTTTTTTAGAAATGTAGATCTCGTTGAGCGAAATCGAATGCCGTTTGAATTTTGAAAATCGGCCCGTTAGATCTCGAGATATCAAGGGGGGGGGGTCGTAAACAGCCCCCCCCCCCCTGCCACTAATAGGGGGTAGCCAGGAGCCTGCCACTAATAGGGTTAACTTATCAACCTGAGTAAAAGATAAAATGACTTTAAAGTCCCACTTATGTTACGAAGCTGTCAGAGGCGGTTGACACGTATTACGAATACCCGTCACGACCCCTACCGGTTGATCTGACCTGACCTGACCTGACCCGACCTGGTTTAAATGCTTGGAAACAAAATCTCTTATCAAAACTAACACGATAATCGTGATCAGCACCGCGGAAAACCCCATAGCAGCCACACTTTACGACTTTCTAACAGGTCCCGATTTTCCCGATTTTCGGGTCATTGACCTGACCTGGAAGGTCTCCCGATGACCTAGGACCTTAAAATTGGATATCACCGGCTTCCTCTCGTGACAGGCAACACGCTCGTTTTTTCCGCGAAGCTGTAGCTCGATCAGGGGCAAACGCGAGGGGGGTCGTACCCCCCCTCCCCTTGTGCCGACGATGGACGCAAAATGGCCTGTGCCGGCGAGGGTTAAAAAGATTTCGCTTCGCCTACGCGGTCCGTTCGCTCGTATATTTCTCCTTCGTTTTAACCCTCGCCCGTATTCGTGTTTGCCAGCGTCTAACGTATATGGAGGGGGGGGGGGGGTCCGTTGGACTTTCCTTGCCGTTTGGCCTCTGATGGAGCTAGAGCTTCGCAGAAAAAAACGACCGCGTTGCCCGCAACGAAAGTAAGCCGATGATACCCAATTTTATGGTCTTATTTATGTCACTGGTTGACCTTCCAGGTCAGGTCAATGACCCAAAAATCGGGAAAATCGGGACTTGCTGGAAGTTCGTAAAGTGAGGTTGAAAAAGGGATTTTGTGGAGTGCTGAACACGTAGTTCATGTTAGCTTTGATCACATATCTTTGATGTCTTAACCCGCGCCCTGCGGTGTTTGAACACCCCCCTTGTGGTTTTTCGCGGATATCTCAAAAACGGCGGCGCGGAGCGCCGCCGTTTTTGGTACACCTTATCATACATCAATTCTACACATGTTGTGAAAATTTCAGACCAAGGTCATTCAAGGTCAGGTCACCAGGTCACTTGAAGTGACCTCACCTCATAAAAAGTTTCAATGTCTGTCATAGCTACACCGAGTGACCGATCGTATTGAAACTTTCAGCGATTGCTAAGAGCAATAGCATGTACAAAATGTTCATCTCAGAATTTTGATATCGGTGACCTAAGGTCAGGTCAATTTTGCGACCTCCCCGTTATAAGTCAATGGGAGAAAATTGAAATGCGCCTCTTTTGGACCGAAGACATTATAAACACTCTCAAACACCGAATTACAAGTGGTTTAGACACACTGAACATGAAAATGGTGTCCGTGACCCTTGTTTATGCCCTGAGGTCATCTTAGGTCACGAATGGTATCTAACAGTTTTTCGCAAATAACTTTTGATAGAGGCATGCTAGAGCGATGAAAACGCCTTATATGTGTTCAGCTCGACGATACGGATCGACTGATATGCAACATGACCCTTTCCGGTCAGGTCATGACCTTGACCTGAGGTCAAATTTTCAAGTTGACCTTTCAAGGTCAAGTTATAGTTCATTTGATGCGTCTTGACGAGAGGAACACGATGCCGGTAAAAGTAAGCTCGTACAAGGCTTGGGTCAAAAGTTATTGCAGAAAAACTGTTTCCGAAAAAATCGGTTATTTTTGCAGTTTTTGCCCCCTGCAGGCAAAACCGTTGACGTTAGGTCAAATCTGAGAGCATTAATCAGAAAGGGCGTTAATAGGGCTATCGAATGCGCTTTTCTACGGCGCTGTAGCTCTATTGGTTCCCGAGTTATGCGCTGGCTTCTTGGAAATTTTCGACATTCGACCTGGAAATCGGCGAAATTTTGCCTTCAATGACCTCTGGTGACCTGACCTTTGACCTGACCAAAAAATTGACCGAAGTGATTTCGTCATTAATTTTTACGGTCTTTCGAACGCCGCCTTCTGCGTATCGCTACGTGGCCCAGGAGCCGAGTTACAAGGGGGGGGGGGTGTTCAAACACCCCCCCAGCAGGGCGTGGAAATCCAGGACCCCCAGCTGTGCGCGGGATAATGTATTTAGGCCAGGTCGGGTCAGGTCAGGTCAGGTCAACCATTAGGTGACCTGCCGGCCATCCATAGCAGGTGTTGACCACTATTGACAGCTTCGTAGCATACGAGGGCACCAAAACTATTTCATAAATCTCCAAATGGGAATTTGAAATCAGCCCCAGAAACTACCATAGAAACATGTAAAACTCGAAATAGTGAAGCAAGGTCATCAAAGGTCAATGACTTTGACCTGACCTTCACGGGACCTTGAAACCCACACCAAAAAAAGATTGAAAATTGCGCGGATAATGTGAGCCTCAGCCGTCATACGCCAATTCGCGATTCCGGTCGAACATGGTCTCGAGAATCAGACCACAGGTCAAAGGTCATTGGGGTCAGGGTCATTAAATTTTAAGAGTAAGTAAAATTGATTAACTCGAGGGTACTGAAAGTTTCGTCGCGATCGGCCGTTTTTTGCGCGAATTATACGCGAAAAAACCGGGAGGGGGTCCGTTCGACCCCGCTATATGTAAGTGCGAGTGTTAAGTCACTAAAAATCTGTCTTTAAAGTAAAAAAAAAGTTTATTCCTCGAGCTGAGAGGCCAGAGTTGTACAGTTGGAGTAGGTACTTCAACACATCATGTAGGTATTTGCTTACATCCATGCATACATTCTCGAATTAAACATCAATAATACCCACTAAAGGCATATTGCTCTTTGGAACGTCGCTTTCGGTATGGGGATATCATGGGTCTGAGCCAGCTGACACGGGTGATACCCCCTCAGTGGGGTTCTGGCATGGTCTGCGTTGGATCACCCACCACCACAATGGGCGGTTCCTCAAAACCAGCGTAATTGACCGGTGTGAGGCGGCGACGTGAGGCACGCGAGTGCGGGACCGTCCCCATGCCGTGGCGGTCCGGGTCAGGGGAGCAGCCCCCTCCCCGCGCGGCGGGCGGTCGCCCATTCATCCGCGACCCCAACCCCATGACTGAGGGGTTGACAGAGGGCAAACATCACGTATTTAAACTGGGCAAACAGACGGTGTTCTACGCTAGGGACATCTCGCGGCTGTGATTCACGATACTGCTTCGCCAAACTGCCTTTAGATGGTGGGTCAGTCAGTGTCCGTCTGCTGCTGTGCGCCGAGAATTAGCCCTATAAATTACCATGAATTACACCTTCTAGTGTGACGATACAATCACATTATCATATAGGTCGCGTTTAGATGCAAATGAAGAAACGACTGCGTTGAAAAAATATGTCATTTCATCGAACGCTGAAATGCTCGAAGTGCTCGCTAAAAAATGAACTCGCTAACTGAGCCCTAAAGGTCGGCTGCCGTGTTGCATTGCATTTAAGCCAAAAACGCGGGCTGGGTGTAAGTTGTCGAGAAACAATTTTTGGCCTGAAGTGTTCTCTAAAGTATTATCTACATAGATCCAGGGAACATATTTGCTATCTATGATGGCTTAGGAGATATTGAATCGTAAGTCCTCCGGTGTACCCTGTTTTGCGGCGGCCCACGTGTTAAAAGCTGCTGAACATTTTTACTTTGACCAAAAAACGCGGGCACAGTTTGGTCTGTACGAAAATGATTCTTGTGCTATCGCATTCCACGTGGGCTGAAGATTCAGAAACCAGGGAACATATTTGCTACGACCAGTACTTTTCACGATTCAGACCGAAACGTGAAAAAATAGCCCCAAAACCCTATGGCAGGCACCTCTCCGAGGCGCCCGGCCGCGGGTCGCTAGTTCCCGAAACGACACACCATGGCGGTCACACTTTTGAACACAATCTTTATGCGTCAGTTTCAGGCATAAAAAAAATAGAGGTTTTAGGTGAAGGGGGTGGCAAGATAAACCCACAGTGGATAAACCTGAGATAAACCCAAGGCTATATAAACCAGGTAGAACGCTCCCGACGAAAAAGTGGTGACAAGCGATAATTAGTAGCCGCGACCCTCTTTTGTTCAAAACTATATCCGCAAGCAGCATTTACAGGCTAGCGGAAATCGACCAATCGGCGTTCGGCAATACTCAACGCTGATTGGCCCGATGCTCGTGACGAAATTGCGGGGGACTGCAGCTATTCCCCTATGGCGTTTAATAGACTTACGGCTTTTGAAGGGGATTTATACCAGTTTTTTGTTGGGTTTGAGGCCATTTTTGAGCTTGGATATTCTTTCTGTGACTTTTGACTGTGTAATAACGACATTTAATCATAACATTTCTATATACTACCGGTGTCACATCGACCAAAAAGACCGTAAGTACATGGGATAGACGGACCACTGCTGATGGGGCCACACATGCCGGCGTGTGGTCATCGGAGGCCCATGAGGGCTCGACATAGGCCCTTCATGGGTCGGTATAGGCCCGGTGGGTCCAGTGCAAGCCTATCAGGGGCCGGTGCTGACCCAACAGGGCCCAGTGACATATAATGTAAGGCCGTCTAGGGACGCTGAGGGCTCATGGGGGCCATATAGGACCAATAGGGACCACATAAGCCAATCAGGGGCCATTTAGGCCAATAAAGGCACTTCAAGGGACTTGAAAAGGTCATTCAAGAGCTGTGGTGGGCCCATGAGAGGACGGCACTGGTCCAGCAGGTGCAGTCAGGGGATGTTGTACGGGTTTCTCAGTGGCCCATTTGGGCATATCAGTGACCAATTTAGACCCAGCAGTGGGCTTTGTAGACCTATCAGGGGCTGGTGATGGTTCATCAGGGGCCAGCGTTAGTCCATCGGGGCACGGCATATGCCCATCAGAGGTAATTGCGAGCCCACGCTGAACAATGATGGCCCTTCAACGGCCCCATGGATCTACATTGACCCATGGGCCATGATGTGTCATGTATGCCCCTATGACAGGCCTACTCAGACCCCTGATGGACGTTCCCGGCCTCTGATGACCCTATGCTGAATGCTGATGGGGCTCTAAGAGTCTCCAATAACCCTTCGTCACCCCATTATTACCATACGCTGGCATTAGGGACCCCACATCAGCCGCAGGGCAGTCCGTACCATGACAGCACATGGGTGTAACTTTGTATACTTTCGAGGTCCCATGTGGGACCCCAATGCGAACATTTGGGACCCCAATTGTCATTTTGGGACCCCAATAGTGGAGGCCCCCGAGACGCATCAGCTACTTTGCAAACGGAGGTCCGATATTCATATAAAAGGTTCTCTGTTTAAATAGGAGGCCCCTTGGACAAATCGGAGGCCCTGTTGGACAAATAGGAGGCCCCCTGAACAAGTAGGAGGCCCCCGGAAAACAGGAAGTCCCCTGGAGAAATAGGAGGCTCTCTGGACAAGTAGGAGGCCTCCTGGACAAATAGGAGGCCCTAGACAAATAAGAGGCCCCTAGACAAATAGTAAGCCCCATGGACAAGTAGGAGGCCCTCTGTACAAATAGGAGGCCCCCCTGCAAAAATAGGAGGCCCCCCTGGACAAATAGGAGGTCCTAGACCTAGACAAACAGGAGGCCCCTTTCACAAAAGGAGGCCCCTGGACAAATAGTTAGGAGGCCCCATGGACAAGTAGGAGGCCCTCTGTACAAATAGGAGGCCCCTGCAAAAATAGGAGGCCCCCTGGACAAATAGAAGGTCCTAGACCTAGACAAAAAGGAGGCCCCTTTCACAAAAGGAGGCCCCCTGGACAAATAGGAGGCCCCTTTCACAAAAGGAGGCCCCTGGACAATTAAGAGGCCCCCTGAACAAGGAGGCCCCCTGGATAAAGAGGAGGCCCCCTAAAAATAGGAGCCCTCTGGATAAATAGGAGGCCGCTTGGAAAATAAGAGGCTACTTTAACCAATAGGAGGCCCCTTGGACAAATAGGAGGCCCCCTGAACATGTAGGAGGCACGCTGGACAAATAGGAGGCCTCTTGGGCAAAGAGGCCCCCTAGAAAAATAACAGGTCCCTTGGACAAATAGGAGGCCCCCTGGACAAATAGGGGACCTCTTGAACAAATAGGAGGCTCCATGGACAAGTAGGAGCTAGAGGCTCTCTGTACGAATAGGAGGCCCCCTGGACAAATAGAAGGCTCCCTTAACAAAAAGGAGTCCCTTAAAAAAAGGAGGCCCCGGGACAAGTAGGAGACCCTTGGACAAATAGGAGGCCCCTGCACAAATATGAGACTCCTAGTCGAATAAAAGACCCCTGGATAAATAGGAGGCCCCTGGACAAATAGGAGGCCCCTGAACACGTAGGAGGCCCCCTAGATAAAGAGGAGGCCCCCTGGAAAATAGAAGCCCCCTGGATAAATAGGGGACCTTCTGGAGAAACAGGAGGCCTCCTGGACAAATAGGAGGTCCCATAGACGAATAGGAGGCCGCTTGGACAAATAGGAGGCGCCGTTAACCAATAGGAGGCCCCCTAGACAAACAGGAGGCCCTCTGTAACAGTAGGAGGCTCTCTGTACGTACAAGAGACCGGCGCTGTAGAAGCTTAGCCGTATGTACGCTAGGAGGCTCTCTGTGCAAGTAGTCGAAGTAGGAGGCTCTCTGTACTGTACCTACAATTACAAATAAGAGGCCCCCTGGGTAACTTAGATGCAACACAAATCGGAGGTCACCTATAAAAAAGCGGGACTCTGTTGGAATACCTGATTTAATAAATTATTTTCCTGATATTCAAATTACTTAGGTAATCCTCGTCCGCACATGGTGGGGGGGGGGGGCAGTGGTTGCCACACCCCCCACCCCGACCTAGGTAGTTTTTTTCTGCTCTGCACTAAACATTTTGATTGCTAGAAGTCGGATATTTCGTATAGCTGCTGCTCTATCCTTTTTTAGCATCCACTGAAAATTTCAAGTTTCTGTGGTTTTTGGTTTCGGAGATATGACCTTATTCTTCAGGTAATGTCATAACCCAAATGACAAATACCCAATATCTTGCGTTGGCGTTGGGTCTTGTGAGCTTTTGACACCTTGATTTCGGCCTTTTTTGTCAGTCTTACCTCCCACCTATCATGGAACATGTTGTTCAATGATGTAGAGATGCCAGGGTCAGGGTCAAGGTCAACCTAGGTCGTCTAAAAATATTGCGTTTTAGGCAAGCTGAATTTACTTTCGTGAAGTTTCTTTGACTGTATTTTTGGCAAAAGCTTCTCAGTTCATGATCTCATGTAATATGGACACATTCACAGTCGGTGCACACATCAGTATACTCGTACACACAGACACACACAGACATACAAACACATGTCATTGACCTTGAGCTAACTTGACCTGAAATGACCACAGCCAGCAAAAACCTAGTCGGATAGTGTGACAAAGAGGTTCTAGCTGGCTTGGCACCACAATACGGCAGCGTCATCGGTACATGATGAGCAGCGCACGTGATATTCCAACGGGCAACGGTGACCCCAAACAGCAACATTCTTTAGTTTGACCTGACCTGGAAGGTCAATGACTGACCTGATGAGGTAAAATTGGTATCATTGGATTCGTCACTTCCCAAAGAATCTGTTGCTCTTGACCGCAAGGCTTAAAATCTTGTAAGAAAAAATTGTGGTGATGTCGAATAAGATACCTACACAAGCAGCGGGCCAACCCATCATATACCGATGACGCTGCCGTATTAGTGCCAAGCGAGCTAGAACAGCTCTTTGTCACACTATCCGACTAATTTGCTGGCTGTGGTCATTTCACGTCAAGTTAGGTCAAGGTCAATGATATGTGTTTGTATGTCTGTGTATGTCTGTGTATGTACTGATGTGTGCACAGATCGGTTTGTGTGTCCCTATTACACTTGATCATGAACTGAGAAGCTTTTACTAAACATACAGTCAAAGAAACTTCACGAAAAGTAAATTCAGCTTGCCTAAAGCGCAATAATTTTAGATGACCTAGGTTGACCTTGACCCTGACTCTGACATCTGTACATCGCAGAACAACATGTTCAATGATAGGTGGGAGGTAAGACTGGCAAAAAAAAGCCGAAATCAGCGTGTCAAAAGCTCACAAGGCCCATAGCCATCGCAAGATATTGGGTATTCGTCATTTAGGACATGACATGACCTGAAGAACAAGGTCATATCTCCAAACCCAAATGCCGCAGAAGCTTGAAATTTTCAATGGACGCTGAGAAAAGATAGAAAAGCAGCTATACAAAGAAAATCAGGTTTCTAGCTTTAAAAATGTTAAGTGTAGAGCAGAAAAACTAACTTGGGGGTGGCGACCCTCCCCCCAGGTGCCGGCGAAGGTTAACCCTCACACTTTCTGGGGTCGGCTTACGGCTAGATTCCTTGCGCAATGCTGTGCCGTTAATTTTTTTTCTATTATAAAGGCATTGTGTTTTATTGTCAAAAGTGAAAAAGCCAGAAATTTTCGTCGATTTCGGATGCCGCGGGGGATATTTACATACAATGTCACCCTGCTGGCCTGGATCCACCAGTAGGGTCAGGTGACCTACCATTTCTTTATCGATATTAAAAAAAAAAATCATGGCATCAGAGCTGTGACGAAAAATAAGTGGCCTAAATCCGATGAGAAAACTGGATTTGGGGGTACCCCATGTTTGGCTTCTGAGCCTCTGGTCCCCCAATGAAAATTTCTTAGAGGAGGCCCTGGCGTGGCTCGTAAATTACCGCTTCCGCAATTGGAGGCCCCTAATTGCTTGGAGGCCCCCACTAAATGGAGGCCCCCTTGGACGTTTGGGACCCCAATGGTGATGTCAAAGTTTCACCCATGTGACAGCATGTCTTTTCGGCCGATATTTCATCGGTAATATTTATCAAAATCATGATTTTATGGTGCCATTATATAGGTAACAGTCATAAGAAATATATTTCAACTCGAAAACGGCTCGAAACAGCATATAATTTTAAAGAAACCCCTCCGAAATCCAAAAGCCTATTCGGGTCCATAGAGAATAACTGCGGTCCCCCGCAATTTCGTCACGAGCGTCGGACCAATCAGCGTCGAGTACCGCCGAGCGCTGATTGGTGAATTTTCCGCTAGCGTGTAAGTACTGCTCACGGAACAAGAGTTCGTCGACAATCCTCCACAAACGTCTGTCACCATTTTTCATAATGCTAAACAGCCGGAGCGTACCCCCCTGGATCAAGGCCCTATCCCTGGATAAACCCCCTTGGATAAACCGGTGAAGGTGACGGAGTAGCGCAGCATCAGTGAGTGCCGTCAGTGATTTCAACCGTTTTTTAACAAAATATTGTCAGACCTGACATTTTTTTGGCAACTTGATGCATCAATAAACAAATCCTAAGCCTTTGGTGCTAATCCATCATTTCAATTTACCTTTGTCTGAGCGAGTAGAAATGATTTGTTACTTGTTGGGGACACTTCAACTTGATTTCCCTGCAAGTGTAAACATTGGGTTATGTTGTCATATTTCCAGAAATAATCATGCATTCTTCAGATGGTTGATATTTTTACTTGAAATGACAGCCTGTGTGTGTGGTTGGAGTGCAGTTTTTACTTAAAGTTGCAATGGTTTGAATGTTGTATGGCTATTTCAACCCGAAACTCAACAGAGCTCTGTTTGTCCCCCGTTTATTTATGAGCAGGCTGCGAGCATGCTGCTACTTCTTGGCTCCTCATTGGTCGAATTCAAGTGGTCTATTCGTTAGACCAATGAGAGGCCAAGAAGCGCCAGCAATAACTTCCTTATATGGGGAAAACCAACAGCACATTGATATAAAAACAGCGACTGAACAGGGTCCTGAGTTATCTTCGTGGTTACGGGAAGGTCTGCTGGTGCCTGGCAATGTCGTGGAAGGATATTGTTAAGCCAGGTGCTTTTACATTAAGTGGTAGGTATTCCACATTTACACTACATTATGTACCCTAAATAGGCTTTTGAGCATTAAGTAGAACACATTTATTGCTAATTTCTGTTGTTTTTTTATCCTAAACAATTAGTAGACAATTTCCAAGAAGCCAACGCATAACTCGGGAACCAATAGAGCTACAGCGCCGCGGAAAAGCGCATTAGATAGACCTATTAACGCCCTTTCTGTGTAATTCTCTCAGATTTGACCTAAAGTCAACGGTTTTGCCTGCAGGGGACAAAAACTGCCAAAATAGCCAATTTTTTTCGGAAAGTGTTTCTGCAATAACTTTTGATCCAAGCCTTGTAGGAGCTTACTTTTACTGGCATCGTGTTCCTCTCGTCAAGACGCATCGAATGAAGTATAACTTGACGTTGAAAGAAGGTCAACTTGAAAATTTGACCTCAGGTCAAGGTCATGACCTGACCGGAAAGGGTCATGTTGCATATCAATCGATCCGTATCGTCGAGCTGAACACATCTAAGGCGTTTTCAGCGCTCTAGCATGCCTCTATCAAAAGTTATTTGCGAAAAACTGTTAGATACCATTCGTGACCTAAGATGACCTCAGGGGCATAAACAGGGGTTATGTTGTCATATTTCCAGAAATAATCATGCATTCTTCAGATGGTTGATATTTTTACTTGAAATGACAGCCTGTGTGTGTGGTTGGAGTGCAGTTTTTACTTAAAGTTGCAATGGTTTGAATGCTGTATGGCTATTTCAACCCGAAACTCAACAGAGCTCTGTTCGTCCCCCGTTTATTTATGAGCAGGCTGCGAGCATGCTGCTACTTCTTGGCTCCTCATTGGTCGAATTCAAGTGGTCTATTCGTTAGACCAATGAGAGGCCAAGAAGCGCCAGCAATAACTTCCTTATATGGGGAAAACCAACAGCACATTGATATAAAAACAGCGACTGAACAGGGTCCTGAGTTATCTTCGTGGTTACGGGAAGGTCTGCTGGTGCCTGGCAATGTCGTGGAAGGATATTGTTAAGCCAGGTGCTTTTACATTAAGTGGTAGGTATTCCACATTTACACTACATTATGTACCCTAAATAGGCTTTTGAGCATTAAGTAGAACACATTTATTGCTGATTTCTGTTGTTTTTTTTATCCTAAAATAGGTTGAATATGCTTACAGAAAGCCAGAGCTCTGAGCTCTGTTCGCCTCCCGTTTATTTATCAGCAGGCTGCGAGCATGCTGCTACTTCTTGGCTCCTCATTGGTCGAATTCAAATGGTCTATTCGTTAGACCAACAAGAGGCCAAGCCGCGCCAGCAATAACTTCCTTATATGGGGAAAACCGACAGCACGCTGATATAAAAACAGCGACCGAACAGGGCCCTGGGCATTCATTGGTCAAATGAATACCTAGGCCACGTGAATCCGACTGATTAGGAGCCAAGAAACAGCAGCATGCTTACAGCCTGCTGATAAAAAGCTGCCACCAAACAGCACCCAGGGCACTGTTCCTAGGTTCCTGAATTATGTTGGGAACATAATCTAAATTAAGATTAAAATCAGCCTCAATAGGGGAATAATCTTAAATCAGATTATGTTGTCACCTGACTTATCTTTATTTAGATTACACAATCAGCTGACTAATTTTAAATTAGATTACATTCAGCTGGCCTAATCTAAATTAAGATTATATATAGTAGTTGATAGAGTATAAACCCTGGCTTTATAATATGAAAGTATGAGACGCTAGAGCGTCATGTCTTGTGCAGGGAAATAGAGCCAGTCTAGCACAGGAAAGAAAAATAAGTTCAGCACATAACCTGAGCTCTGTTCAGTCGCTGTTTTTTATCAGCATGCTGTCGGTTTTCCCATATAAGGAAGTTTTGCTGGCGCTTCTTGGCCGACCCCTAGCTCAGTTGGTAGAGCGTTGGACTCCGCGTGGTGGGAGCACGCGTTCCCTGTTATAACAGTCCGGTTTCGAAGCGCGACGGGCTCTTGACATAATGGGCTTCCTGACTGGTATGGTTGCGGTTGGTGGCAGGCCGAAGCCAGGCGAAGTCAGTAAGGGACCGGCTGTGCGCGGCTATGTGCGCACGTTAAACTTTGGACTCTAAATTCTGCCATAGAACTGAGGGGTGTTCCATGTTCACGGGCACCGCAAGCTGCTGAGTGCGGTGTGTGCGGTGTGTGCAGCAGGCGTGGGGGTAGGGGATGGGTAGGCGGTTCTGACTCACGTCACGGCTGCGTGCGGTGGACGATCCGCTGTGGCTAGTCCCGAGGGCTGTTCACGGGCCCTGTGTGCGGTCGGACCGTACGCAGCCTCCAAGCTTCGCCCACTGCGTCCCTACGTCAGCCTTCCGTCACCGCACATAGCGACCGCTTTGGCCGGTGGGGACTGGCCATAGCGGACCGTCCACCGCACGCAGCCGTGACATCAGAACCGCCTACTCATCCCCTACCCCCAAGCCTGCTGCACACACCGTAATTTCTGCCATTTTCGGCCAAAAAAAAAGGCTCGCGGGAAGAGCTGTCAGGCCTACAGCTTTAGAAATACAGAAAAATGTTCAAGACATAAGAGGTGTAGAATTAACAGGGTTGCAAAACTGCTATCTCGAAAGTTTGAAATTTTGGATTTTGATTCCCTAATTTTTTTTTTAATATGATAGCCGAAAGATCCAAAAGTTTTTTTTTTGAACTTCGAAAAAAACGGAATATAGGTATGTGATAGTCCCTACCGCCTTCTATCCACATATTTAAGTTGAGATCGATACCACCTCTTTTTTGGCCAAGTTATAGCGAAAAACTTGAAAATTGTTGAAGTCAAATTTTCAAACTCAATTTTTAGCAATTCTAGACGTCGTAGCGCAAAACAAAGACCACCATTAGACTCCCCGTGACGAGCTGCATCGAATTAATACCCACTTTATGCAAAACTATCAACTTTGAAATTTGACCTTTTTTACCTGACCTTGACCTGACCTCCACGAGAAAGTGACATAAACCGTACCTGATGGTCTTGTGACCAACACCATTGAGTTGGAAATGAAAAATTGGCCATAAAAGATGCATCCCACAGCCTCAGTATTCAGTAAAGTTGGGTTCATGTGCTGACCCTTGGTGAGCTGACCTGTGACCTGACCTGGTATTATCAGTGACCTCTAATAACAACATATGTACCTATTAGGTAACTGACGCCCTATCGCTGATTTAGACGAAATGCGTTTATTCGGTGTTATAGTAGCGCATTCCTTAGAAGAACCGTGAACGGTGAAACATTTAATCTTTGACTTGACCTCTGACGTCATCGGTGACCCCGAGGTCAATGAAATTTGGTTTCCCTGGACAAATTTGACAGAGCTATCGAACGCCGTTTTAATTTTACGGATCCCTCCAGTAATTTCAAAGATAGGGAGGGCAAAAAATGCACCCCCCCCCCCCCCATCGCGCGGAAGGTGGCCGGGAGGCCCACCGCCTGCCGGGTCAAGCTGGGAATGTTTGTCATATCCTCATCAACAAATACAGTTTCAAAGTACTTATTCAGCTCTTCAGCTATTTCTTGATCATTTTCAGTTAACATCCCATCATCCTTTTCCAGGGGTCCAACCTGTGCTCTCACATTTGAACGACACCTTACATATTTGTATAGCTTACCAGGGTTTGTCCTCAAGTCTTCAGTAAGTTTGGCTTCATATTCAGACCTCACTTTTCACAACATAAATGTAGTTCGGTTTCTCTGCATTGCATATGCTCTGTACCTTTCACTTCTCTTGGTTCTCTCATACTCCTTCCAGGCTTTATGCTTTTTCTTCACTTCTTTGGTCAAAGCTTTGTTCCACCATGGTATTCTCTGTTTTCTTGTCTACTTCTTGAAAATGGGGCGGGCACATAGTTTTTGCTGATAGCCAGGTGTCATTCCGTTTTGATGCAGGACCAAGCTCCAGTCTGCCCTTCTAAGGTGATTTGACATCTCCACATAATTCCCTTTGCAAAAGTTGTACCCCCCCCCCTTCTAACTCGGCTCCTCAGCCACGTAGCGATACGCGGAAGGCGGCGTTCGAAAGAGCGTCAAAAATAATGGCGAAATCACTTCGGTCAATTTTTTGGTCAGGTCAAAGGTCAGGTCACCAGAGGTCATTGAAGGCAAAATTTTGCCGATTTCCAGGTCGAATGTAGACAATTTCCAAGAAGCCAACGCATAACTCGGGAACCAATAGAGCTACAGCGCCGCGGAAAAGCGCATTAGATAGACCTATTAACGCCCTTTCTGTGTAATTCTCTCAGATTTGACCTAAAGTCAACGGTTTTGCCTGCAGGGGACAAAAACTGCCAAAATAGCCGATTTTTTCGGAAAGTGTTTCTGCAATAACTTTTGATCCAAGCCTTGTAGGAGCTTACTTTTACTGGCATCGTGTTCCTCTCGTCAAGACGCATCGAATGAAGTATAACTTGACGTTGAAAGAAGGTCAACTTGAAAATTTGACCTCAGGTCAAGGTCATGACCTGACCGGAAAGGGTCATGTTGCATATCAATCGATCCGTATCGTCGAGCTGAACACATCTAAGGCGTTTTCAGCGCTCTAGCATGCCTCTATCAAAAGTTATTTGCGAAAAACTGTTAGATACCATTCGTGACCTAAGATGACCTCAGGGGCATAAACAGGGGTCACGGACACCATTTTCATGTTCAGTGTGTCTAAACCACTTGTAATTCAGTGTTTGGGAGTGCTTATAATGTCATTCGTCCCAAAAAGGCGCATTTCAATTTTCTCCCATTGACCCTATAATGACTAGATAAGTGAACCTAGATAAGCGACCCTATAATGGGAAGGTTGCAAAATTGGCCTGACCTTAGGTCATCGATATCAAAATTCTGAGATATAAATTTTGTATATGCTATTGCTCTTAGCAATCGCTGAAAGTTTCAAAGCGATCGGTCACTCGGTGTAGCTATGGCAGACATTAAAACTTTTTTCAAGTGACCTGGTGACCTGACCTTTAATTACCTAGGTCTGAAATTTTTCACAACATGTGTAAATTTAATGTATGACAAGGTGTACCAAAAACCACAAGGGAAAAACGGGAGGGGGCTATGAATAGCCCCCCCCCCCCCAGTGGGGCGCGGGTTAACATGTGTATTTCGGAACATTCTAGTTCTCCGTTTTGTTTAGATGGCGTGCCCATTTACTGTGATGTTTTTTCTTCTTTTTCAGACGTGATGTTTGTCGAACAGTCTTGTGTCTCTCCGACTTCATCTGTAATGAGTCATGGAAATCAACGAGAATATATGAGAAAGGCCTTGTACAAGAAGGGAACGCCGCCATGGAAGGAACTTCATAAACAGGTTTGGTGCTGATGTAGATTATAGCGGAAGGTGGGGTGGTAGGAAGACAGCATTCCATCACCTCAGCCGGTGGGATATCAAATTATTGTCATCTCTACCCCGCTCCCTGGTGGGGCTCTCAGCCAACTGCGCCATGGCCGTGGTGGCCTGATTGGGTGGCAGGAGTATTTGCTTACACCCGGTTATCTCGGAAACTAAGACAGCTAGAAAGAACCGTAATGTGCAATAGGGAGATCGCTATCAGATCTCTCAGAAGCATACCGGTCATTTATCGATCAAGTCATCGCTTAGGTCATTGGAGTTCACCAAAAGTAAAATTATCACGAAAAACTCCCGATTTTCACATTTTTTACAGATCAGCGCGTAATCGGGAAGTAGAGTATAGAGCTGCAGTATACATAGAGAATTGATGGAGGTGCAGTATAGAGGTACGGCAGGATGGGGTAATTTGGCCGGCAGTATAATTTGGCCGCCCCCACCTTTACGATATCTGACAAAAGTGAATGGAATAATTAAAGCCTCTATTCATGTGTCATTGGTGGAACTAATCCGTGGAAATTTTTCAAAAATCTCCCCTTCGTAATTTTCATCAGTCATTAAAACATGTATTTGATTAGAAAATGGCAACTCTTACTTCTGAGGCCAGTTTTATCCCCCCCCCCCCCAAAAAAAAATAGCCGCCTGGCGCAATTCTTCTGTCAAAAACCCGCCGACGAGTTTCAGACAGGCACCCCCGTCTATTTTTTTAGGACAAGATGAGATACCTACTATGCTTTTCAGACCCCATGAGACCCTAATTTTCGGCGATAACTTATTTACTATTTGTCCAATTTGCTTCAGATTTTTACAATGCACATTTCAGCTCAAGCGCCAATTTTCGCCAATATGGTCTCTTAACAAAATCTCAAATTTTAGGGTACTTGTCGTTGCCTCGTAATGTTAAAATCGGCTCCGTAAATCCGTCAGTGGAGTAGGTAGAGGCTATCCGTGCGTAGGTGTGACGTCACAAACACGTGACCATTAAGCTCCGCCCTCCCGGCGGACGGGGTAGTGACCTTGGGCGGTCAGTCGGCTGCGTGGAGCGGGCGGGGCAGTAGCTGTGGCACCGGGGCGGCTCGCATGGACCGTATAGCTGCCGTGCAGTTGTCGTTGCAGCCGTAATTTCATCGAATGAGCTAAATAGCGCGCATAAGTAACGCACCAGCTGAAGCCCTCGACTAATTGTATCTATCACAAATGTACGTACAGCTTCTTCAGTCACAAAAAAATATATATTTCCACACAAGATTCGGGGCTTGTGAAAAAAACGCGCATAAAAGACGCTGTTGATTTCAAATGATTGCGTAAGCTTATGTATCGCGTCAGACTACGTCAAAATTGCAAAACAGAATCACCATTAACATTATGCAATTTATGTGTTTGATATATTAAATTTGATTAGGAATGTATGTCGGCGTGATCGATTTATATCATCCCGGTGCAACTAAGCATTGAACACCTTCAGGACTAATCCATTTGATCATCGACTTAGGTTGAGGAGGTCGCCAGACTAACTTTGCCCCCAGAGCTTGTGTGTTGAAATGCAAACATGAAAAGTAAAAGCCTAGAGATAGTTTCCTCACCATTGAGGACATATCTACTGTTAATTAAAGGGACTGTCCCACCTTAACATTAGAATTGAGTTGAGATAGCCATCTTGATGGGCGTTCTTTGAAAATCAGAGCCGTGAAAACCGTTTCTCCAGCAATTACTTCATCGCAAAGAAATTTGTGTTTGATTTTGACATCTGTGCAAATAAGTGCCACAATGTATTGGTATTGGCACTTAAAACCTGTGACGTTTCCGCCTTTTCCGAAGTTTCTGTATCTGTCGACTTGTTTTTATCGAAACCTTAGGGCTGTTCACGGGCCCTGTGTGCGGTGCACACAGCCTCGAAGCTCCGCCCACTTCGTCCCTACGTCAGCCTTCCGTCACCGCACACAGCGATCGCTGTGGCCGGTCGGGACTGGCCACAGCGGACCGTCCACCGCACGCAGCCGTGACGTCAGAGCCGCCTACCCATCTCCTACCCCCACTCCTGCTGGACGCACCGCACACAGCGCACGCAGCAGTGTGCGGTGCCCGTGAACACCCCTCTTGAAAAATAACAACGCCTCTTTGAACAGCGCCCATTCGTTCCGGTGCCACGAGGTGGAGAAATAAATTGATATGCCAAACTAATTCTAATAGTCTTCTAATTCTTGTAGTATTTTTATTTTTGTATTTAAATAGTTAAGAGGCCGTCCTAAATGTGACTGAAGAATGCAAGAGCCATGAACTTATCAATGGCAGGTGTCAAGTTCAAGTGTGCAACTCTCTAAAATTAATCATAGTATCAAAATGATAAATGATTTGCTCACTGCTGTTTCAACTCCATAATCAAGACATGCTCTGAGAAGTCCACAATCTATTGATGTTGACAACTAAGGAAGAGACAATGAATGTTCACCTTTTTATTTCTGAGCATCCAAGACGACTAACCTTGAGCCGTTAAACATTGATAATACCCTGTATGCTGAAGTGTGGGTGGCAGGGGTGTCGATTTTTCAAAATGGTTGGGGGTGCTCAACCCCTGCACCGGGTGAAAGATTGTAGCTTTGCCATGGGGCACAACCGTACCTACAAGGCATGGTTGTGTATCCCCATAAGGTACTGATAATCCCGGGATTTCCACTAATATTTCCCAAAGGTTGAACGTTCTTCAAAATCATTCTGCTCGTCCTAGTACTTGGCTACCTCATTACATAAACATCTTTCCGAAAAAAACGCGTACATTTGCCGGCAGCTCGGCAGCAGCACCGACACCTCTGTAATAAGGTGACAGAAACCGATGACCGCGATTAGCACCGGTGCAGCAGCCCCTGCGGTCCGCAGGGGCGGACATTGCGCGGGAGGCAACGGTATAGCTACGAGGCTCTGGCGTTTATCAGACGATCACAATAATCGCTGAAAAAAATAACAGGTGATTGCAATTCGATATTTATGGGTTTACGATTTTCCTCAGTGGCGTAGCCAGGTGGGCCCGTGAGCCCCCCCCCCCGCCCCATCAGGTTCAGGGGCCCATCGGATTATTCGAGCCTGAGGGGCACTGCGGCGCCAATTGGCCACTGAGGGTCCACGTTGGCTATATTTGGACTCAGAAGGGCCCCACAGGGCTCGTAAGAACACCTCATAGGCCCAAAAGTACTAACATTAAGATCTCCATAAGGGCCCCAAGCCAGCCTCTGAGGGCCACTTGCCGGCCTCTGGGGGTCTTAACCGGCCTCTAGGGGGCCAGCTCTAGGAGCTGCACACCCGCCTGTAATGGCCCCACACCCATTTCTCTGAGGGCCCCTATAACGGCGACTGTGAGGGCCCTCACCGGCGCCCCTGAGCGCCACACCGGCGTCTCTGAGGGCCCCACACCCCTAACTCTGAGGCCCTATACCAATGCCTTTAAAAACCCTACATGGGCGGTTCTAAGGGCCCTTGACAGTTACCAGCGACCCTGACGGCCCCACACAGGTGACACGGAGGGTCCCAGCGGCGTCTGAGCGCACCATGCCAGTCTCTGAGAACCCCACAAGGCTCCTGAAGGCACCGGTGACCTCTTGATATCTTCTTGTCGGCCTATGAAGGATCCGTTCCGTAACAGCAGTTCTGAGGGCCCAACGCGCGCCTGTGATGGCCCTAAAGCAGTGTCTCTGAGAGCCCCCACACCGGCGCCTCCAGTCCGAGGGCCCCACATTGCCATATCTGAGGGCCCCACACTAGTGCCTCTTAACCCTCGCCCGCACATGCCATTTCCCCATCCTAGAACGCACATGGGGGGGGGGGGTGGTTGCCACCCCCCCCCCGCGCCATTTCGTTCCTGTTGGAGATAGAGCTTAGCAGTAAAGACAAAAAAGATTCTTTGGGAAGGGACGAATCCAATGATACCCAGTTTTACCTTCTCAGGTCAGTCATTGACCTTCCAGGTCAGGTCAAACTAAAAATGTTGCTGTTTTGGGTCACCGTTGGATATCAAGTGCGCTGCTTATCAAATACCGATGACGATGCTGTTTTCTGGTGCCAAGCCAGCTAGAACCTCTTTGTCACACTATCCGACCAGAATTTTGCTGCTGAGGTCATTTCAGGTCAAGTTAGGTCAAGGTCAATTATATGTGTTTGTATGTCTGTGTGTGTCTGTGTGTATACTGATGTGTGCACCGATTGTTTTTGGGTCCATATCACATGAAATCATGATCTGAGAAGCTTTTACCAAAAATGCAGTCAAAAAACTTCACAAAAAGTAAATTCAGCTTGCCTAAAACGCAATTATCTTAGATGACCTAGGTTGACCTTGACCCTGACCTTGACCCCTGTACATCGTCGAACAACATGTTCCATGATAGGTGGGAGGTAAGACTGGCAAAAAAGGCCGAAATCAGGGTGTCAGAAGCTCACAAGGCCCATGGCAAACGCAAGATGTTGAGAATTGGCCATTTGGGTCATGACATGACCTGAAAAACAAGGTCATATCTCCGAAACCAAAAATCACAGAAACTTGAAATTTTCAGTGGACATCAAGAATGGATAAACGAGCAGCTATACGAAAAATCAGTCTTCTAGCTCTAAAAATGTTGAGTGCAGAGCAGAAAGACTGCCTGGGGGGGGGGGTGGCAACCACCCCCCCCCATGTGCGGGCGAGGGTTAAGGCCCTATATCGGCGGCTCTGAGGGCCCAACATCGTAGCTTCTGAAGGCCCCACAAGTGCGCATGTGACGGCCACCCTGCCACCGGTGACATTTGAAGGCCCCACACCGGCGACTCTGAGGGCCCCATCAGCGCCTGAGCCCGTTCCGGTCTCTAAAGATGACCCCACAGGGTTTCTAAAGGTATACATACCACCGGCCTCTGATGACCCTTTGCCGGCCTCTGAGGGCCCGTCGCCGGTCTCTGGAGCCCCCTGCCGGCTTGTAAAGGGTACGCGCCAGCAGCTC